TCTGTTTTAGTTGGTGATTTTATGTGCAGACTGGGTTGTGTGGGGCTCTTGAGCAGGGTCTGACAGACTCAGGAGGCTTTTAGTTATATGCATGTCTGACTTAAGATCAACATATAAATAAGAACTGTGTTGAACCATTAGGGTGAGGAGTGATGTGTGACATCCTGATTCCATGCAGAGACAGCCTGCCCCTTTAAAATGTGTCATGAGGTGGAGTCAGGATGTGAAGAAGGCTGTTACTTGGTGTGTGTTTCTGGGTTTCTGGGCACTGTTTGGCTGGTGCCAGTTGAAGGCACATTAAAAAGCTAGACAGTCCACAGCTGTGTCCAGATGGTTTTTATGGCTCATTCAAACATCCACATGTCATTATCAGTGTGCATTGTGCACACTCTTGTGATTCGTTTCCCATCCAAGTCATCTCAACTTTGCCATGCTTCTCCTCCTGCATACTTTGTCCTAGAGCTGCCATTGTAATTTATATCTGTAAAGCTCCTGTGCCAAATGATGYCTATGCCTTTTGGTGCCTGTAAACTTATAGTTTATGAAATATTAATGTTTAATAAATTATAATGGCAGTCAATGGAGCCTTGTATTGGTCCAATACTGCCCCCTGCTGCATCTACAGAATATGGTACTGCACCATAGTTTCACAAAATTTAAACTCAGTAGTTCAGTGATTACAATATTAATAATATGATTGTATTTTGATGTTTTACTGCAATACTGTCTTTATGTTGTACTATTGCTGTAATATATTGCACTTAAGTGTCAATAATTGCATTGGCAAGGTAAACTTTTTCTGTATACAAACAATCCAATCCCTGGGATTATCCTCTGCCACATCTCCTGTAGTCTCATGATGAGCACTGTGGGCTTTCATGTGGGAGATCAGGGTTCAAAACCAGCTACTGCAACTTTAACAAAAATCTCTTCAAACTTCATATTGTCACACAATTACCTTAATTACAAACACCTGCTGACGTGACAGGCACAAGCTGGTATAGAAAACACATTTGAACTTGGTCAAAGTTCATTCTGCAGGCAAAGCCATGCTGCAATGACATGCTACGTGGCAATGCACACTTATTTTTACATCGTAAAAACCCATGTCTAGTTATCATCTGGTATTAGATCTGAACAGGTAAAGGGTAACGAACACTGCTTATTTTTTGATGGATGGATGGATGGATGGATGGATGGATGGATGGATGGATGGATGGATGGATGGATGGATGGATGGATGGAACTTTTTTATGAATATTATTACTTCAGTTCAACTTGCACATTTTTCCCAACACACTCCCATCCAACACACTCAGAGAGTGAATGGAAAATTAAGGATTATCCAGCAGCAGCAGCAGCAGCAGCAGCAGCAGAGATCGGCTCCATGCAGCAGCTGGAACTTAGGCATAAAAACCGCGAACAATATGCAAACAAGTTTCCATGCTGCTGGCAAACATGGGGCTGGTCCACCTCCCGCTGTGTCTACAGATAAGATTCAGTATCAGTGACCGCAGTCACACAAACCCATCAAACAGGTAAATATCACCACACACATGCCCCAACGAGATGCAAAGTCAAACAGCCAAACAGCATATGTTTATGTAGGAGAGATTCAGTTTAAAGCAGAAACATTTTGCAGTAATTTACAGTCGGCTGTGACCATCAGATAAGTTATGACAGTTTTATCCACAAAACAAACATGAATTTTTGATTTAGTGGGAAGTCTTTGCTTTCTGTTTAACCCCATGCCCGTCAGGTTTGTTCGCAATTTCTGCCTGTTCTGACAGATTTCTGCAGGATCTGAGGCCTGCGAAGAGGAAACTGGACCAGAGGGTGCTGCWAACTCCTGACGATAATCACAGGAATAAATACAGCTGCTGCAGTAACTCCACACAGACTTAAATCAGTCGTTATTTATAAACTTAATGTACAGTTTGAACCTTTGTCCTTTGATAACAAAACCAACAAGAATCACAACCCCACAGTTCTACAGTAATTGATAATATTTTTACAAATATAACAAAACCAGAGATAATGGGTGGTATTTTGATTACTGATGTAAGTAAGTGATCACTTACCAATTTTTACAATTTATAAAAACAATCAAAGTAGCACAAAAGTAGTTAAAATCAAGAAAAAAATAATAGACACATCAAGAAAAGCTTTGGATAAATTAAAAGACAAATTTAAAATAACAAAACTGGAAGGACGTATTTGTTGATGATGTGAATAAAGCATATGATGTGTTCATGAATATTATAGAAGATTTTTCTGAAAAGAATTGTGTAAAAAATAACTATTGTACAAAGAGAAATACTGTTGACAAACCATGGATGACAAAAGTCTTAAAAAATGCTTGTAAAAAAGAATTACTTATATTCATGCTTTTTGAAATTAAGAACAAAAGGATCGGAAGAGAGATATAAGAAGTATTAAAACAAGMTGGTATGTATTATAAGAAAGCATAAGAAGGAATATTACAGTGATTTATTAAATAAAAGTAATGGTGATATGAGGGCAACATGGCAAGTATTGAATAGTGTTCTGAAAAATCATAAAGCTAATTCAGGCATTTCACAGTACTTTGTAAAGGAAGACAATGAAATACATGATCTGAATGAAATTATAAATGAATATAATCATTATTTTGTGGATGTTGGTCCAAGTTTTGCAGCTAAAATACCAAAAGTAGATAATAATGTGAGTCATACATATAGGTTGTACCAACAGTATTTTTCTTGATGGAAATGACAAAAAAATAAATAATGAATATTTTAAAAAAAATCTTGCAAACAAAAAATCAAAAGACTGGGTGAACATGGATATGATGTTTGTAAAGGAAATAATGGACTATGTCATTGAGCCATTTACACGTTTATGTAATTTATCATTTTCAACAGGTATATTTCCAGACAACATGAGGATAGCCAAGGTAATCTCTCTCTATAAAAATGGAGAGAAAAGTTTGTTTACAAATTATTGGCCAATTTCC